TAAAAAAAAAAACTCTCCTAAAGTCAATCATCGTTGATAAGTTAAAAAAAAAATTATCGTTGATAAATACTAATTAATTTGAAAAATATTTTCTTCATTTTTTCACATTTCCATGCTTTTGATACCAAGACCGGACTACTCCAATCGTTAATAAGTAATGTTCGTCGATTTTTTACCACTAATTGACTTCAATTTTATAATTACTTTTAAATTAATGTTCCTAATTGTTAACGAAAAAAGCCCTCCTAAAGATAAGACTCTTCTTTATGCGATCGTAACAGTACTGTTACATACACAAGCCCTAACTTCTACTACAAGTCATATATAACCTCGCATTATCCATAAAATCTTGACTCTCTTCTCTCATTCTCACCTCTGGAGATTGTTCTATGGTCTATTGAACAAAATCTTCTGTTCTATTGCTTCTTTCTCTCTGTAATGGCGGATCAAAACGTTCAAGACCCAAATCCTCCCACTGGTACGTCTCTTCCGATGAAGTTTTTTCGATTGAATTTCAACTTCTTGTAAACATGTCGATCAAAATCATCTCCAGTAACTAGGGTTTTCGAGTAGGATTATCGTTGGGTTTATAGATTCCAAGGTTTCGTAATCCTCTGCTTTTCATTTCCTCTGTCCCATTGATGAAAAACGATTGATTGATTTCGGAGTTATCTGCTTTGTTGTAATCATTACCGAGTGATCTTGATTCTGTTCTTGCGTCGTAATGGTGATGCAGAAGATCGAAAGGTTCTTCCTTTAAAGAGAGGAATGGCTGAAAAACCACTTCCTGGATCAACCGAGTCAGCGTCCGATTCAAGCGATAGTAGTGACCATGAAGATGCGATGAGTTACGAACAGAAAATCGAAGAAATCAAGAAGAAAGCTTTCTACTCTGTTGTCCATGCATTCACAGTAGACTCCTCGACACTATCACAAGTAAGACCTTTCTCGATTACTCCATTAAAAATCTTTTCTTCTTCTTTGATTTCATTCGGTTCCTGAGGAGTGTTTTGATGGTGTCCTCTGTTCTTCATCAGGAGAGAACTTCGATTGTAGAAAGACTTAGGAACGAGTTGAACACTGCTCGCGAAATTCAAATCCCTATTGAGAATAATACCATTCAGAAAAGTCTCGTCGATCTCCAGAGAGAAGCTTATTACGGTGTTAATCTTGCCTTCAGTGCAGAAACTCCTGCAATATCCAGTGTAAAACAACGGTTTTGAATCTTGTTTCTATGCGTTCGATTCAGTTCTCGGAGTTTGTACTCATGTTCGTCTTCTGTGTTCTTTAGTCAAGGATTATGATCGTGCAAGACCTGAAGAAAGAATGGAACATTTCTCCTGTAATTCATGGTGCTTTTGTTGATGGAATCAATACTGAACCACTGGTTAAACGATGGAGGTATCATAATGGAAGCTTTTACTACCTGTAAAGATTCCTGTTTTACTTCCTCTCCCTTCTTTGTTTCTCAAACACTCTGTTTCTTGCAGGAATGTTCCAAAGGCTTCTGATAACGAGAATGTTACTCCAGTAGAAGGCCATCCATCGGAATCGCGTGTGGCAGTGAACAAGGAAGACTTATTCGACTTTGTATGTTTTATTTAACACCATCTCTTTCCAAATCCTAAAGCTGACACAACTTGATTTGGTTTTTAACTTCCATTGTCTCTTTCCTTTTTCTGTTTGTTTAGCAAGTAGCTCCTGCGAGGATACAATACGAGAAGACGGAACCAAGTTCTACTTCTGAAGATTCACTTGTACCAAGCTGGGGCCAAGTTTCTCCTCAGACTCTTGTTGGCAGATGGCTCAATATAAGAATGCCTGGCGAAGACGATTACATTGCATTCCAAATCAAAGACTATAACGCGGAAACGGTAAATCTCTTCATGTTCCTTTGTGTGTTGTATCATCAGATCAGGTCAGGTCTCAGCCATTCTAAGAAGTATGGTTTACCAATCTACAGGAAATGCATCACCTGGTGACTGCTCTAAGCCAAAAGACTGTTATTGACCCGTGCGACTGGATTGATATCAGATTTGTAAAACCATATATCCCTCTTCAATTTTTATATTTGTTCTTCTTTCTCTCAGAAGTTGAAACCTCATGATCTCAAACTTATTGCAGATTCCGGCAGAAGATACTGTTTGGCAAGATGGACATCCCGGATTCCCAGCACGGAAAAGCTTTATTAAACCAGGCGAAACGATCTTATCCACAACCAGTACAGCTCAAGAAAAGAGGCGAATTAGAGAGGTATCTTGTACACAGCTTCAACAAATTTTCTTGTGATGCTAAACCTTTTGCTGACATAATTTCTCATGTAAAACCTCTGATAGGTTGGAAAAACTGCCACTGGGATTCCTATTATCAAAAGGCTCGATAAGGGAAAGGGTATCGCATGAGCAAAATCTCCGGTTGCAGTAGGGTGTCAAGATAGAGCAAATACATGACAACACTCCAGACTAAAACTCTCTTATAAACTTGATTTGAGACCTTTGGCTTTTCTTATACAGTCCACTAAACTCATATTTTGCTGTTATCTAGAACTAGCAAATTCTCCTTTGTAAACAAGTTTCTAATACTTCTTTGTAAATGACTGCCTTATAAACTTGTTTGGAGATTTTTGATCCTAAAGAGTATTGCAAATAACTCACTACCTCCTTGAACGCTTCTTCGGGCGAGCAGAAGAACCTACCTCCTTTTCACTAGCTTCACTGTCCCGCTTTGTCACCATAGGAGTAGACGATGCAGCGCCCTTTTTAGAGGCGGTGCCAGTGTTTTTCTTTGCAGGACTACCCTTTTCAGTTGTTGCCTTCTTCCCAGTTGATCGTTTCTGACCAGCAAGCGGTTTCCCTTCATCAGCTTTGTCATTCTTACTGTTACTTCTCCTCTGTTCAGCTCCTCTCTTTCCATTAGAAGAATCACCCTTCATCGTCTCTATAACAGTTTCAGACGAAGAAACCCCTTTCATTCTCTTAAGAAAACTAGCAACACTTTTCTTTTTCGAGCCACCATTTGTGTTGTTACCTTTCTTTTCTTGATCACTTCTTTTCTGCTCAGAGCTATCATTTAAAGACCGGCCTTTACTAGAGAGACCAGCATTCAAACTTGTCTTAACGTTTCTGCTTCCTACCTTTTTAGCTGTTGAGGTTGTTCTCCCTTTAGCCACCTTCTTGGAAACAATAGGTTCCTCATCTTTATCAGAGAT